GCGTGGTGTGCACCTGCTCACGGCACAGCCTGATCACCATACTAACTGGCCACTACTGAGTCAAAGATTTTTTAAAAAAATATTATGATTGCATGTTTGAATCCTGCAAGTTTTGTTATATGGTGGGAATACCAGCACTTTGTAGGCTTTTCTTAGTTGAAAAAATAACACTTTCTTCCTAACTGTTGTCATTTCCTGTGGTAAGTGAGGGTAATATTTAATGAAGAATTCTTTTAAAACTAACCAGTCAAGGATTCTATAGGCTCCCACAAAGTAGAAAAGATAAAATTATAATATTATATTACCATTATAATGTCATTTTTGACAATCAGTGAGATTCATTGAAAGCACAGAACACAAGAAAGAGGTAATCCCACCAACACCATGCAGCGATTTCTCATTAAAGGGGACAGTGAGATATTTCAACAAGGAGATTAATAGAAGTAATGTATGGGTTTTTACCTTACATCCTTGCTGATTTACATCATACTATGTAGTTGAAACAACAAGGGGAAAGGCGAAATCTTTCATATGATTAATGCTGAAATACCAAACCTCTTGTTATGGTTGATTGTACATTCACAACAACACACGTGGGAAAATGAAATAGAAGCATTTTCTATTCTTTTCTTTTTGTGTTTTATATCCTTTCCATGTAGGTTATTTCAGGGATTCAAATTTATTTTTTATGGTAAACACTGTTTCTCAGAATATACAATTCTTATTTTTTTCTTAAGGGAAGTGTTCTCCATCTGGAAATTGTGTATTCCATCATTTTGCTTTAATGATAAGTTTTCCTGTCCCATCATTAAACATTAATGTTTAGGCAATGTTTATTTCACGGACTCATCAAAGAAACTCTTAGAGGGGGAAGACACCATAAGGGCTGTATAGCTCAATTCCCTCACCTTACTGAGAATACTGAAGTTGAGTTGTCCCATCTGATTTTGCTTTCTGGTTTGCTACATCTCATGGAGCAAAAGTAATTTTTTTAAGAGGAAAAAACATTACCATGGTAACAAAACACGGTATAGGAAAATATAAGGATGGATGATGAAGATGAATGTCCTTCCTCTGTACAAAGGTATAAATAGACCAGAAGTTATATCAAGTCATTTGAAAAAAACAAAAAATAAGAAGAGCCACTTGTCCTAAATTTTGAGGAGCTTCACATTTTGGCTCAATGGCTATGACAGCGTAGGGAAGGACAGTGATATAGCCATAGAATAAAATAAGGAAATATGATGTTGTTGGAGATTCTGCCTCAGCTCCCTCTCTGCCCTCTGCACTTCCCCTCCTCCACATGGCCTCTCAGCTGTGTGTGGGGGTGGGAGGGGGTGGGAGGGTGCATTATGTCCTGTCCTTGGATCTCAAAATTTGTGTATCTACAAGGCCTTTTCTCAGGAGCAATTCTACTGCAACCTGTAAAACAATGACCAATTGCTAAAGATTTTTAACATGTTAAATATGTTGATTTGCAAAGCATCTTTTCATATAGCTACACACTGGATCCTCTTAGAAAACTGATCAAGTGATATCTACCCATTATTGTCAGTGCACAGTATTGATTGTTTTATCCAAATTGATCCCTTTACTCTGTCACCAAGATCCTATAGTAACTGAATTAAAGCAAAGAAATTGCAGAAATAATACTACCCTACTTTTGGCAAACAGTATATTTCAGAGAACTTCAAATATAGCTTCTCATTTTATCCTCATAGTAATCCTTTGATGCAGTTACACTGGCATTATTCCTTATTTCACAGAATAAAAAATTGAATTCACAGAGCTAGTAAGTAGAAGGATTTGGCGGAAGAGGACAAAACATAGAACTGGAAGGCATCTTGTTCAGTGTCCTACGTTTGGAAATAAAATCATTGAGGCCTGGAGAGCTTACACAGGTTACCCAAGGTTTTAGGATTCAAATTCAGTGTTAGAACAAAATCCCCATCTGCCAATTTCCAGACTGTGGTCTTTGTCACGAGGGCGCTCCTTCTCGGAAAGGGTGAAGATGTGTCAGAGCAGGGTGACGATAGCCATTAACTGATGTCGAGCTTCCCCTCCATCCCTTCTGAATATTCACACTCCAGGTCACATGAGAAATAACAAAGTTATCCTTTAGTGTCCAAGTTTAGTGGTCAAACTGACCTACTAGCATTCATCTTAGATGGTATGAAAGTAATTTTAAAGTAGGAAAAAAAGCTCCTCCTGTTTTCAGGGTTTCTTCTTAGTGTGATCAGTGTACCTAGTTCCATTTTTATCCTCTGATTTTTGCTTTTTCTTTGTCTATAAACATTCATTGAGCACCTTTTCCTCACCTCTCAGAAAAGCATCCTTCTCCAAGCTCTATGGACTTCCTTGTCTTCTCCCTGATTCTCTGCTGCTGCCTGCTGCCTCTGTTTAGTTCCTAATATCCTTTTACCATAGGAACAGGGAACCCTGCATGGAGGATCGCCCTGTTTGTGAGTTCATAAAAATGACCTAAGAGTGTGCAGGTCTCTCAAAGAGCCAAGCTCTGTGAATCAGGAAGGTAATGGTCAGGCATACACGTTCGAGGACATCTATCCCACTGCCCCCTGTGCAGCCTGGCTTTAAAACTCATACAGCTCACAGCAAGAGAATGAGCACAAATCTCCTATGACAGGGAAACACCCAAAGCTCCTCTCTCAACTTGCTACACACAAGTGCTTCCTGAATGCTGCATGAAAAATCTCTGAACTTTTCACATCACCAGTCGCTCTCTCATCTCCTGCCTTTCTTTTCTTACAATACTCTTCATTCTTTTTCTTCCTCCTCCTCTCATCCTCTTTGTTACACACCACCTGATCTTTTTCTGTATGTTATTCTCTCTGCGGCGTAGGAAACACAAATGAAAAGAAATGCAAAATTTTCTAAACTGCTTTCTATTCTGCTTTTCTTTCAAGGACCACATGAATTGCTATTTTTTTTCCCCAAAATCCTACAGAAATTAGCTCTCAGGTTTTATTCGATTTTCTGCACATCTTCAGCATCTATGGTTTGATCAATCATTGGGCATCTCTCAAATGTGTTCTCTTATTATTATTTATCTGCTGATGTCTCTGTCCTGCTCCCCAACCAGATGATGGGTTCCTCCAGAGAAGGCAGAAACATACATTCTCAGCGTTTCCTAAGGCATCCTACACAGAGTCCATTATGAGCACAATAAAAGTGGAATGATGAAGCTCACCTTTGTACTTGATTGCATTTTACTGGGTTTAGCTTTCTTCGTTTGTTGCCTGGTTGATTCTTAGTAAGAATCAGTTTTAGTTTTGAAGACCTACAAGGGCAGGAGTGGTTGGAACTTAACAGCGCCAGGTGTTACAAATGTCTCATCGTATCTGGAAACCTTTCCAGCGTTTCAACTCACTTCCTAGTTTAGGTGTGCAAAATAAATCACTCAGGCAATAGCTTCCATTATAAGAATTATATACCTTATATAGTTAAATAATTTCAAAGCTGGCAGTTGTAATTTCCCTTCATATAGTTTACATAAACTCTTTTTTGGGAGAAAAATTGTATCTTCCCATGCAAATGAAGGCATTATCATGGCTTAGCCAAAGCTTTGATGATAATAGTAATAATTACTGGATTCCTATTATACCAGGCACTGTGCTTAGCATTTAATAATCTCATGTAAAAATGCTAACAGCTTTAGTAAGTGCTATTATTTTCTGCATGTAAGGAAATTGAGGTTTAGAGAATTTAAACAGAGTCAGGATTAAAACCCTTCAACCTTGCATATAATAGGAACTTGAACATATGCAACAAGGATGATAAAATACTTTCGTAAACTCCTTACAAAGTTATCTTTTTACATAGCTATCTATTCTGTTAGGGTACATATTGCAAAATACATTTTTATCATTCTTGGTTTAATAAGTTTGCCCAAGATCCTATCTCTCTCCTGCCCCAAGAGTTCTATAATTATGTAAAGCAGTAACTTAATAATATCCAATACTGTTATCTTCAAACACAAAATAAAATAATTTTGACATGATGTATACAATAATTACAACCAAATCTTCTAGAATATGTTACATATGTCACCTAATTTGCCACAGCAAATCTATGAGGTGGGTAAATAAAAAATAAATAGTAAATAAAAAATTACCATTTTATTGTGATAAGCTTGATATTGTAAAACTTACAATAAATGATTATAATAACAATAATGGAATGTAGATTTCATTGAAACTTCTTCCACATTTTCCATTTGCTGATATAGAGATATCACTAGATAATATTACTCTAAAGACTGTCTTATTTATAAAAAAATGGAAAATACTACAAAAATACCAGAGTAGTTATGATCTTTCCAAATGTGTTTTCTAAAACTGTTCATTAGCTGTGGTTATATTTATATGCCTGATAAATGCATTCTGTTCAATAGGAATTCAATGCAATTATTTTTAAAGTCTTGAAGTGAACGTTCAAGGATTATTGATCCAAATCACATCAACTAATGGCTTAATCAACAAGTCACCTATAAAGAGCAATGTTAATTCAACTGATATACCGCTGTGCTTACATTGCAAAATGATTTATGTCTTGCCCAGACATAATTATAAAACTATAAGAGATGTTGAATTATACATTGGGTTTTTCCTAGAATTTTACTAGAACTTTGTTTTTGAACATTAATTGAAATGTTGTAGAGACAAACCTACATGGGCCCAAATTTGAATATAGCTATGGAGCCTATAAAACAAGGAGACTTAATCTGGTTAATGTAAATATCATAAGTTCCTGGCTGTGGGACCTAGAGTCACGTTTTCATGTTCCTAGAATCCATTTAGGAAATTCCCTTTGCCAATTTTCCCTTAATGGCAGCATAGCACTCTGAAAAAAAATTAATTGTTAACAGGTCTAAAACATTAGCAATTTATACTAATATACCATTATCTACATTTTATTGTAGAAAACCCTATTGCCGTTTTATGGGTCTTTGACTAATATGCAGTATTTCTTTTTTAATGCAGGTAAATGGTTTAACTATGGAATTATCTTTCTCGTCTTGATTTTGGATCTTAATATGTGGAAGAACCAGATATTTTATAAGCCTCATGAATACGGTCAGTATATTGGCCCAGGGCAGAAGATATATACAGTGAAAGACTCAGAAAGTTTAAAGGATTTGAACAGAACAAAGCTCTCCTGGGAATGGAGGTCCAATCACACTAACCCTCAGACAAATAAAACGTATGTTGAGGGAGACATGTTTCTGCACAGCAGGTTCACAGGGGCTAGCCTTGATGTCAAGTGTATGGCTTTTGTTCCAAGTCTGATAGCATTTGTGTGGTTTGGATTCTTCATTTGGTTCTTTGGACGGTTTTTGAAAAATGAGCAAGGCATGGAGAACCAAGACAAGACTTACACTCGCATGAAAAGAAAATCCCCATCAGAACATAGCAAAGACATGGGCCTCACTCGAGAAAACACCCAGGCCTCAGTGGAAGACCCTTTGAACGACCCTTCTTTGGTTTGCATCAGGTCCGACTTCAATGAGATTGTCTTCAAGTCCTCTCACCTGACATCAGAAAACTTGAGCTCGCACTTGAACGAGCCTACCAGCGTGACACAAGCTGACCCTGACCCAACGACTTCTAAAAGTACGCCTACGAACTAGACTCATTTACTTGGAGATAGCACAAAAAGCAACCCTGAGTGTAACTTTAAACAGTTTGTCTTTCTTTTTGTAAATGTAAGGTTTACTTTGTGTTAGGTAGAGAAATACAAACAATGCCACAACGGTGCTCAACATGCTTTTTCTAGGACTCATTGTTTTCTATTTGTATTATGATACATGTGCCTACTGTATATCTAACAGCCCCCTAGAGATTGCTTTTCACAATTGCACAAGCTACTTACTGACTTTACAGCGTAGTAGATTAGCTGATTACCTGTGTATCTGATGTTCAACCATAGTGGTGCCTTGAGACATTAAACTGTTTTTAACTGTACCAGAAACGAAGTGTGGAACAGTTCTCTAATCTACTTCACATGGGGTTTTTTTGTATACAATTATTTTGGCCTCTACTTGATGTCTGACCAGGAAACAAATGTAGCCTTGCTGTGGCTCAGGAAGTATCTCTTGGTTTCTTATTCAGCAGCGGAGTTGGTGACTTTGATAGCTGGACTGCAATGACACATGGTGATAACCTTTGAATTTTTATTGGCTGTTGGCCAAATCCAAATACAGATGCAAAATTCCCTAATAGGCGAATGATAATCCAGCATGGGTCACTACTCATGAAATGTGACTTTCTCAAACAAGTAATTGCAGTTAGATGATAATACTTAATTATGTTTTCCTAATTAAAGATAAATTGCTACTTGATTAAAAAGTCTGCCCTTCACCTAAGGGAACAAAGTTTTAGAGGCACCGTTGGGTGAACTCTCAAACTTATTGGCATTTACACAAAGCCCTAGAAAACCAAGGAACTGAAGTTTTAATCATGTGAGGGGTACACAGCCTAACATCTACATTATTTGTACATCTTTCTGTAAATGTGGCTCTGGACAATGAATATTGAAAAACATATGCCAATCCTGAGCAAAGAAACTCCTCTAAAAGTCATGCAGTGGAACCTTGGGAGGTAGAAAAGATCGTGCATGAAAGAATCTGTTTAGTGGCTTGTTTTGTGTGTGTGTGTGTTTTTTTAAGAATTAAACATTTCACATTAATAAATAAGAAAATTATACATCAGTAATTATGTGATGTTATTTTTGTTTGAGATAAAGGGATTCCATTATATCTTAGTGTAACAACAGCCCCCCGTTTTTTTCTAAACTCCACGCCAGACAAGTTAAGAAATGAAAGACACCCAACTTGCCTTGAACTTTGTCCCAGAAATTGTGGTAATATGTTCCTTGAAGACATTGGGGAAGATTGCTTTTAAGGCAAAATTATTTTCCTGCCACATACTGACATAGCTATATTTTGTCTTTATGATTTTTTAAATCTCTGTTGTTTTGATCTATCTGCTTTTAAGCTTGCAGCATGCTGAATTTAGCATGCATTATACAACTATGCATTTATCTGTCACTTGAAAGCCAGCTTTTATAAACATCTTTCTACAATTGTTTACTAAGCAAATTGGAACCATGCACCTGCTCCTTCTTCTGCCTTCAACAGCCATGCATGGTGCTACTTAGAATAATAAATATCTCTGACACTAAAAATGCAGAGATCAAGCTCACTACAGTAACTCGTTGACCATGCTGTCCAAAGAAACTTATCATATTATCTCTGGCATGTGGTAATGTTGGCTATATCAAATTTGTATAGCACAGAACATTCACCTTCTGCCTCTGGGACAAGAAAATATTACCACCTAGAACAATATTTTTATTTATTTTGAAAGTCATTGTCTCGTAGAATGAAGAAGGAAATTGATTTAGAAAGTGTGTGGTTATTATCAATATGCAGTCTTTATAAACAAACAAGAAAAACAATACCTTATAGACACAGATAATATGGTGTTTACCAGAGGGTAGGTGGGCAAGAGGGATTGTAAAAGGTAAAGGGAATCAAATATATAGTGACAGAAGATTTGACTTTGGGTTATAGGTACACAGTACAATATATGGGTGATGTATCATAGAATTGTACACTTGACACCTATATAATCTTATTAACCAATGTCACCCAATAAATTTAATTGCATATTAAAATGATAAAAATTAAAAATAAAATCTTAACACAGTAGATGCTTTAAAAATATATTATTTGAAAATCTTTATGTAGGTATTAAGAAAAAAAGTGTACCAATGGGGGCATTAATTAGCAGAAGTAAGGTAGGAAAAAAAGAGAAATCTTAGACTCTTAGAACGCTATGTATGCTATGTGTTTCTAGGGATTGATAAGAGAAGTTATCAGCTGATATGAAAATATTAGTACTAAATGGAGTAATGTCCAGGGACGGCATTTTAATAGTCAAACCAGATTCGAACCTTCAATGGCTTCCAATATCCAATTGTATACACCAATCTTGACCTTTTTATCTACACACTAATCTTTTTTTTTCCTATTGTTTTTGGATATTGTACATTCCCTCTGAACTTACACCAACTAAAGGTTAGAAAATAAAATAAAAGTTCAAATCACATCCATTCATGTGTAGTCTCAGATTCTGAGTCATATACCAATGGACTATGACTCTACAAAACATTTTGGACTATTGAAGGCATTAAAAAAAAGATGTGTAGTAAACTCAGAAAATGAAGAGTTAAAAAAAGATTAAATATCACTAAACACAGATTCTAAGGAAAGTGCAATAAATGTGATGCCTTAACTGCAGTGATGCTTAAGGACTGTAAAAAATTGCATTTCAACTGTTTAGTAATTACAGTATTTTATTCTGTGTAGTGCATAAATTGCATTAATTTAACATGATTTTAGTGTTTTACATTAAAGAGTATTTCATTAGTAGTTTAAATGGAAAATTAAATAAACACCATGAATTTATGCCTGATAATATATGCCTACACATAAATCTCATTGCCACATACCCATTTATATCATATAGCTATTGTTAGCTACCTCTTCTTCTCCCTACAGTAGCTACTTCTGAAGTTCTCTTTTAGCACATCTAAGATCACCAAAGAATTGTATTAGAAATGTTAAGAATCAGTTCTTCACCATTTGCTTTAAGGTCAGCCAAGCCCCAAATCTTTTACTTTTATAGCTCAGATATCACAAGTAGTTTCCAGAAATACTATTGGCCACAAGGACAATGGAAAGTCATTCTACACAGACAATGCAGATTTGAAGAGGAGAGCCATGTCCTATTTCAATTCTGGGCTCCATTAGCGGTTCTGTTATGCTATTTGGCTGTCCTCTGGGTCACCAACACAACCCGACATGAGAAGGACAAAAGATAATGCCAAGGAATCACCCTCAGCTGTCTCTGTAACTGTGGCTCATCATGCTGGATTATCTGACATTCAGCCCAGACTTCAATGCGACCCCCATCACCTTATCATCTATCTGTCCTCACTCTAAATGGACCGCTATTTATAAGGAGGACTCTTGGATATGCGACCACAATCTGGGTACTGTGTTTTTGTTAGCTTTTCCCTCTAAGACTGTTATGTGGCTCACTAGTCTACCTGGCGAAATTTCCTCCAGCTTTGCCCCTTGCAACCAATTCTAACCTATTAAATACCTGCCTTTAAAAGGGGGAGAGCAACTCAGTTTTGCAACATATAAACTGGCACTTTTCTTGTCTCCCCCTATTTTTAAACATGTATGTGTGCAACATATGGAACCAATATGGGACCCAATATAGATACGATGTTTGACTTACTACCATTTAGGACTACAACTGTTTTATAAATTAAACAACTAGAGAGTTGTAGTATTTGCAGCTCACAAGTCACTCTTGTTGAAGTTAATTGGAAAAAGAGGCAGATATTTATAATGGAAAGAAAAGGTTAGGCAGATGGTGGAGCACGAGTGGAATTTGCTGAAAGGAAGTGCTGGCAATGGAAAATGGCAGTTTTTATGTGGATGGGCTTTAAATATCAGGGGAGGAAGCAAGGACTTTGTAAAAAGGACTTCAACATGAGCCCAGTCCTCCTACAGTTAGATAGGAGACTTAAAAAGATATGTTCAGCACAACTGAGGGGGTTATACAAAAAGCTGGTTGGTTGGCGTCTTAAACATTCTAGCAGTCAAATTACTCTATGCCTGGCCTGGAGAGCATTGTGAGACCTGGGCAAGGAGTCATGGGATCTGGGAAACAAGTTACAAAAGTGTCGAGGGAGTGGGCAGCATGAGAAGAGAAAGGCAAATAAACCCTCCCTCAATTCAGTGAGACTGGAGCATCTTTGATGGGAGGACAAACATGGGGGAAGTCTGCGTGTAAGCAAACCGTCCACACGTGGACGCAGGCATCTTGCTAACAGAAACATCTGGCAGTTTTTTTGTGATAAACATTCTGAAAATTTTTAGTGAGAAATAAAATTGGACAGGTTCTTTTATAATGTAATATGCTTAATATACCCCTGATATTATTTCGACTTTGTGTGAGGTATCAGTTATTTTACTTCAGAGAATATAAAACACGTATACTGCATTTCATAGGTTTCTTTCTTATCTCTTTCCTCCAACACAATTTTTCATAAGGTCTTAAGTTCCTTAACCCCAACTAATTGTACTACTGGGCTTTTTGAGAACTTGCCTGTGTGATTGAGAAGGACCATATAATTCATAATTTAGAACTATAGTAACAAACCCAATTTATAATTTATAGGTGCTCTTCACCTTAATAAAATTTTTTCCCTCTCTCTAGATCTTTTCTCTTCGTATTATCTTCATATTGATAATATTATCATTTTGAGTATTTTCTATTCACAAACTACAGCATTTAATCCTCACATGAACCATGGAAGGTAGGTATGGTTCATTTTACTTTACAGACCAAGAAACTGAGGCTCGGAGAGGTTTATTAACTTGCCCAAGGTCACAAAGGTGGCAAATGCAGAGTTAAGATTTGAACCCAGGCTTGTCTGACCCCAAAGTCCCATTTATTTTCTATTAAAACTCATGCACATCCATTAAAACTAGAGTATCCATCTCAAACAGGAACTTTATTGTGGAGCAGTTATAAAACCATAAGACACTTGAGCTCTAACAACCCATCTTTCAGGAACCTAAGTTAAATAATTTCTAACAGCTGTCTGGCTGTAATTTCCAAGTTAAATTATATGATTGAAACAGATAAGGTTGAATTAAATGGCAGAAGCATTCAGTTTGTTGCCAGGTGTTCTGATTTAAGCTACATTTATAAAACCACAACAGAGATTTGTCCTAATACAATTTTCGGCATTGGATTTGGCTTCTTTCATAATTTTACTTTCCCGTGGGGAAGGGAAAGGATAGATCTCTGCAAGTTTTGAACACCACCAGGCAGATGTCGAGGGAGGAACAGGTAGTTACGAATATTCAAGCAAAGAAGAGAAGGATAAGCAAATGGCTGGTCTTTAAAGGCGTAATTTAAATAGAGGCTCCAGAAACAACTCTGTTTTGAAGTGACCATCCAAATTGCATTATTTTAAAAAATGTTTACCCAGACAAGCTAGCTGTATCGTGATAGGACAAGCACTGGCCTTAAAGACGTGTCCTTTGAACACTACGAGCCTTAGTTTCTTATCCCCAAAATGGGACTACCTCACAGAGTTTCAAAGAGGAGCCACTGCGGGTGGAAGCCCTCCGTGAACAGCAGCAGGCCGTGCAGGTGTGAGGTGAGGGCTCCAATGCCCCCGCAATGCCCACCTTTCAGTGG